TAGACTAGACTATAGACCAGACTATAGACTAGACTATAGACTAGACTATAGACCAGACTATAGACTAGACTATAGACCAGACTATAGACTAGACTATAGACTAGACTATAGACTAGATTATAGACGAGACTATAGACGAGACTATAGATTAGACTATAGACTAGACTATAGACTAGACTATAGACTAGATTATAGACGAGACTATAGACGAGACTATAGACTAGACTATAGACTAGACTATAGACTAGACTATAGACTAGACTATAGACTAGACTATAGACTAGACTATAGACTAGACTATAGACTAGGCTATAGACTAGACTATAGACTAGACTATAGACTAGACTATAGGCTAGACTATAGACTAGACTATAGACTAGACTATAGACTAGACTATAGACTAGACTATAGACTAGACTATAGACTAGACTATAGACTAGACTATAGACTAGACTATAGACTAGACTATAGACTAGACTATAGACTAGACTATAGACTAGACTATAGACTAGACTATAGACTAGACTATAGGCTAGACTATAGACTAGAATATAGACTAGACTATAGACTATACCATTGACTAGACTATAAACTAGACTATAGACTAGACCATAGACTATAGACTAAACTATAATATACTATAGACTGTTATGTATTCCAGACAAAAATCTTTTTTAAAGACAAGACTATAGACTGTTCTATAGGCAAGACTTTTCTATAGTCAAGACGTAACACTGATCTTTGGTCACTACTATAGGCTGCTCTATAGTGAAGAATATGTACTGTTCTATAGTCTAGAATCTAGACTCTAGATTATAGTTTGTTCTTTATCAAAGACCATACACTTTTTATAGTCAAATTTAATATAAGAAAAAAATAAATAAAAAAAACAAAAACAATTTATACTAGTTATTTCAAATCACTCACCTTTTTCATTTCTTATTCTAATAACGATATTCTCCCGCTTATATTTCCTTGCATACAAAAACAATATTTACATTTTGCAACACATACATACATTCCCACCAATTCTTTTTCTTTAACTTCTTTTTCATTCTTCATTTTTAACACTTTTTCTTCTCATACTTTTTCTTAAACAAATTTTTTTTCTTTCCAAACTCTCCCACTACCCCCTCTGATTAACACTTTCTCATCACTTAACACAACGAATGGCCCTACAAATGAAAACAAACGACCGGCGCTCGATCTAACAAAAATGCACTGAATTTTTGGTAATTTTAAAACACAATTTTTTAACTAATAATTTAACACTTTTTTATAAACATTTTTCCATAATGCTATTTTTAAACAATTTTCAATAAAAATATTTAAATATTAACAACTAATTAACGCTTTAGAATAATTTAAACAGGACTATAAACACCGAACAACCGAACACTTTAGAAAATTTTAGAAACTGAAGAAGAATACAAATAACTAAAGCAACAAATGTCATTGTTGTTGTTATTATTACTACTCCATTTAAAGAGCAAATAAAGAATAAAAATAACAACAACTGCAATAAGTGATGGATGCTTTTTGTTATTGTTCCATTTCATTAGTTTTCTTAAAATTTCTAAAGTGTTCGGTTGTTCACGGGTAAATGGTACTCTTTAAATTAAATTAAAACGTTAATAAATTGTCAATAATAAAATATTTTTGTTGTAAAATATTAAACAAATGTTAATTTATATCGGTATATAAAAATATTTATGAAAAAATTTTAGAAATTAGTGAAAAAAGTGTTAGAAAATTTAATAAAATTTGCAATTTGCCAAATTTGTTAAGGCAATTGATAGAAGGTGATCGTTGTTTCTTGGTTTCCAGCGCCATTCGTAAGCAGCCAAACTGGAAAGTGAATGTTGTTGTTAAGTGGGAGTGTAAATTAGTAAATTATTAAAATGTTGATATTACATTATTATAATTATTTAAAGAAGAAATTGTATGTAAGCAAAATGTAAGTCAACTACAACAAAAACACTAATAAAGGTCAGTAATTTATATACCAGACATGGAAAATTGAAATTTTGAAATGGTAGTAACTCAAAACAAAAATAGTACATTTTAGGCTTTAAAGTACTAAATTAAATTTCCACTAGACTATAGACCAGATTATAGACTAGATTATAGACTATAGACCAAACAATAGACTAGACGATAGACTAGACGATAGACTAGACGATAGACTAGACGATAGACTAGACGATAGACTAGACGATAGAATAGACGATAGACTAGATCATAGACTAGACGATAGACTAGACTAGACGATAGACTAGACTAGACTATAGATTACACTAGACACTAGATATACACTAGACTATAGACTAGACTATAGACTAGACTATAGACTAGACTATAGACTAGACTATAGACTAGACTATAGACTAGACTATAGACTAGACTATAGACTAGACTATAGACTAGACTATAGACTAGACTATAGACTAGACTATAGACTAGACTATAGACTAGACTATAGACTAGACTATAGACTAGACTATAGACTAGACTATAGACTAGACTATAGACTAGACTATAGACTAGACTATAGACTAGACTATAGACTAGACTATAGACTAGACTATAGACTAGACTATAGACTAGACTATAGACTAGACTATAGACTAGACTATAGACTAGACTATAGACTAGACTATAGACTAGACTATAGACTAGACTATAGACTGGACTATAGACTAGACTATAGACTAGACTATAGACTAGACTATAGACTAGACTATAGACTAGACTAGACTATAGACTAGACTATAGACTAGACTATAGACTAGACTATAGACTAGACTATAGACTAGACTATAGACTAGACTATAGACTAGACTATAGACTAGACTATAGACTAGACTATAGACTAGACTATAGACTAGACTATAGACTAGACTATAGACTAGACTATAGACTAGACTATAGACTAGACTATAGACTAGACTATAGGCTAGACTATAGACTAGACTATAGACTAGACTATAGACTAGACTATAGGCTAGACTATAGACTAGACTATAGACTAGACTATAGACTAGACTATAGACTAGACTATAGACTAGACTATAGACTAGACTATAGACTAGACTATAGACTAGACTATAGACTAGACTATAGACTAGACTATAGACTAGACTATAGACTAGAACTATAGACTAGACTATAGACTAGACTATAGACTAGACTATAGACTAGACTATAGACTAGACTATAGACTAGACTATAGACTAGACTATAGACTAGACTATAGACTAGACTATAGACTAGACTATAGACTAGACTATAGACTAGACTATAGACTAGACTATAGACTAGACTATAGACTAGACTATAGACTAGACTATAGACTAGACTATAGACTAGACTATAGACTAGACTATAGACTAGACTATAGACTAGACTATAGACTAGACTATAGACTAGACTATAGACTAGACTATAGACTAGACTATAGACTAGACTATAGACTAGACTATAGACTAGACTATAGACTAGACTATAGACTAGACTATAGACTAGACTATAGACTTAGACTATAGACTAGACTATAGACTAGACTATAGACTAGGACTATAGACTAGACTATAGACTAGACTATAGACTAGACTATAGACTAGACTATAGAACTAGACTATAGACTAGACTATAGACTAGACTATAGACTAGACTATAGACTAGACTATAGACTAGACTATAGACTAGACTATAGACTAGACTATAGACTAGACTATAGACTAGACTATAGACTAGACTATAGACTAGACTATAGACTAGACTATAGACTAGACTATAGACTAGACTATAGACTAGACTATAGACTAGACTATAGACTAGACTATAGACTAGACTATAGACTAGACTATAGACTAGACTATAGACTAGACTATAGACTAGACTATAGACTAGACTAAGACTAGACTATAGACTAGACTATAGACTAGACTATAGACTAGACTATAGACTAGACTATAGACTAGACTATAGACTAGACTATAGACTAGACTATAGACTAGACTATAGACTAGACTATAGACTAGACTATAGACTAGACTATAGACTAGACTATAGACTAGACTATAGACTAGACTATAGACTAGACTATACTAGACTATAGACTAGACTATAGACTAGACTATAGACTAGACTATAGACTAGACTATAGACTAGACTATAGACTAGACTATAGACTAGACTATAGACTAGACTATAGACTAGACTATAGACTAGACTATAGACTAGACTATAGACTAGACTATAGACTAGACTATAGACTAGACTATAGACTAGACTATAGACTAGACTATAGACTAGACTATAGACTAGACTATAGACTAGACTATAGACTAGACTATAGACTAGACTATAGACTAGACTATAGACTAGACTATAGACTAGACTATAGACTAGACTATAGACTAGACTATAGACTAGACTATAGACTAGACTATAGACGACTATACTAGACTATAGACTGGCTATAGACTAGACTATAGACTGGACTATTTGTCTTTAAGTTTTTTAAAACTCCAGTTAATTTTCTTCAAAGTGTTGAACATAACAGAAAAGCTTTATTAAATTTCTTGCAAAACTTTTGTACTGGTAAATTTTTTTGTGGTTACTTTTCACTTAATTCTCTAGTTCTTCCACCTATAAGTTCTACTTCCTTTTCCATCCATTTGGATACATAGCACTTACACATGTATAACCTATATCTGTTCTCCCTCAAATTAGTTCAGTCACAAACCAAAGGTTTTTTAGAAAATAATTTTGCGCGCGCAAAAAGCTTTTTTACGGATAAAAGCTTATTAGCACGTGCTATTTTTAAAGAGCATAAAATCAAAATAAAAACTTATAGACAATATAAAAACAACAAAAGGGAAAAACATTTTCTAAATAGTGTATTAAAAAAGGTATCCCAACACAAAACAGCCTCCTTCGTATGTTGGTTGTAGCGTATAAAAAGCCGCCTGTTAAATTCAGTTGTAGGCTGGATATTGCAGGCAAAAGTCCTCGTGAACGGAGAACGGCGCTGACGTTTAGGTGTCAATTAAAAAAGAAAATATTTTTATATACAAAAATTTAGCTAGTGGGGAAACGTATAATAGAAGCAAAATAATAATGAAAATTCTAAAAAAATACAAGTGAAAACCTGTAGTATAGAAAATGTAAATAATAATAAAAATTTTATGAAAAAATAATAGAAAAGTGATAGTTTTTTAAAATATAATTAAAAAAATCAATTTATGAAATTTATTAATAAAAAAAAATTATTTTAAAAATCTTTTTTTAAAAAAAATAATATTTTGTACAAAAAATTTGTTTGATTAAAAGTTCACAGTCAACAATTTATAGTATAAAAACAAAAGGAAACATTATCTCTCTAATTATTGTATAGTATGTATGATTTATAGATGTATGCGAGTGTGTGTGTGTGCTTTTGTTACTCTATTGATGTGAGTATGTTTATGCGTGCTTGCCTTAGAGTGTCTGTGTGCAAAAATAGATTATATTTTTTTTTTGAGTTGAAGTATGCCGCGTGTACCGCATATTATTGACGCTTATGTCCTTGTGATTCTATACATTTCCGTAAGAAATGTTGAAAAAAAAAAAAAAAAAAAAAACACAAATTGACATAAAAAGTAAGAGAAGTCTTTCTTCAATTGATATTTTTTTTTTTAGAATAGATTCGAATAGACTATAGACCTGACGATAGACTAGACTATAGATTAGACTATAGGCTAGACTATATACTAGACTATAGACTAGACTATATACTAGAATATAGTCAGGACTAGAGAGTAGACTATAGACAAAACTATAGAATAGACTATAGACTAGACTATAGAATGAATTGTAGACTAGACTATAGAATAGACTATTGACTAGACTATTGACTAGACTATTGACTAGACTATAGACTAGACTATAGACTAGACTATAGACTAGACTATAGACAGGACTATAGACAAGAATATAGATAGGACTATAGACAGAACTATAGACTAGAGTAGACTAGACTAGACTAGACTAAACTATAGAATAAACTATAGAATAGTCCATAGTCCACACTATAGTCTATAGTCCAGACTATAGTCTAGTCTATAGTCCCGACTATAGTCTAGTCTATAGTCCCGACAATAGTCTAGTCTATAGTCCCGACTATAGTCTAGTCTATAGTCCCGACTATAGACTAACACAAATTGACATAAAAAGTAAGAGAAGTCTTTCTTCAATTGATATTTTTTTTTTTAGAATTTCATAAAGTACCCTATAAATGAAGCGGAATCTAGACCATAGATTCGAATAGACTATAGACCTGACGATAGACTAGACTATAGATTAGACTATAGGCTAGACTATATACTAGACTATAGACTAGACTATATACTAGAATATAGTCAGGACTAGAGAGTAGACTATAGACAAAACTATAGAATAGACTATAGACTAGACTATAGAATGAATTGTAGACTAGACTATAGAATAGACTATTGACTAGACTATTGACTAGACTATAGACTAGACTATAGACTAGACTATAGACTAGACTATAGACAGGACTATAGACAAGAATATAGATAGGACTATAGACAGAACTATAGACTAGACTAGACTAAACTATAGAATAAACTATAGAATAGTCCATAGTCCACACTATAGTCTATAGTCCAGACTATAGTCTAGTCTATAGTCCCGACTATAGTCTAGTCTATAGTCCCGACAATAGTCTAGTCTATAGTCCCGACTATAGTCTAGCCTATAGTCCCGACTATAGTCTAGTCTATAGTCCCGACTATAGTCTAGTCTATAGTCCCGACTATAGTCTAGTCTATAGTCCCGACTATAGTCTAGTCTATAGTCCCGACTATAGTCTAGTCTATAGTCCCGACTATAGTCTAGTCTATAGTCCCGACTATAGTCTAGTCTATAGTCCCGACTATAGTCTAGTCTATAGTCCAGACTATAGTCTAGTCTATAGTTCAGACTATAGTCTAGTCTAGTCTATAGTCGCGACTATAGTCTAGTCTATAGCCCCGACTATAGTCTAGTCTATAGTCCAGACTATAGTCTAGTCTATAGTCCCGACTATAGTCTAGTCTATAGCCCCGACTACAGTCTAGTCTATAGTCCAGACTATAGTCTAGTCTATAGTCCCGACTATAGTCTAGTCTATAGTCCCGACTATAGTCGAGTCTATAGTCCAGACTATAGTCTAGTCTATAGTCCAGACTATAGTCTAGTCTATAGTCCAGACTATAGTCTAGTCTATAGTCCAGACTATAGTCTAGTCTATAGTCCAGACTATAGTCTAGTCTATAGTCTAGACTATAGTCTAGTCTATAGTGCAGACTATAGTCTAGTCTATAGTCCAGACTATAGTCTAGTCTATAGTCCAGACTACAGTCTAGTCTATAGTCCAGACTATAGTCTAGTCTATAGTCCAGACTATAGTCTAGTCTATAGTCCAGACTATATTCTAGTCTATAGTCCAGACTATAGTCTAGTCTATAGTCCAGACTATAGTCTAATCTATAGTCCAGACTATAGTCTAGTCTAGTCTATAGTTCAGACTATAGTCTAGTCTATAGTTCAGACTATAGTCTAGTCTATAGTTCAGACTATAGTCTACTCTATAGTCCAGACTATAGTCTAGTCTAGTCTATAGTTCAGACTATAGTCTAGTCTATAGTTCAGACTATAGTCTAGTCTATAGTTCAGACTATAGTCTAGTCTATAGTTCAGACTATAGTCTAGTCTATAGACCAGACTATAGTCAAGTCTATAGTCCAGACTTTAGTCTAGTCTATAGTCTAGACTATAGTCTAGTCTATAGTCCAAACTATAGCCTAGTCTATAGTCTAGACTATAGTCTAGTCTATAGTCCAGACTATAGTCGAGTCTATAGTCTAGACTACAGTTCAGACTATATTCTCGTTATAGTCCGGACTATAGTCTAGTCTATAGTCCAGACTATAGTCTAGTCAATGGTCCAGACTATAGTCTAGTCTATAGTCTAGACTATTTTCTAATCTATAGTCCAGACTATAGTATAGTCTATAGTCCAGATTATAGTCTAGTCTATAGTCCAGACTATAATCTAGACAACAGTCGAGAGTCTATAGTCCAGATTATAGTCTAGTTTATAGTCCAGACTATAGTCTAGTCTATAAGCCAGACTATAGTCTTGTCTATAATCCAGACTATAGTCTAGTCTATAGTCTAGTCTATGGTCTAGACTTTAGTCTAGTCTAGTGTATATTCCAGACTATAGTCTAGTCTATAGTCTACACTATTTTCTAATCTATAGTCCAGACTATAGTCTAGTCTATAGTCCAGATTATAGTCTAGTCTATAGTCCAGACTATAATCTAGACAACAGTCGAGAGTCTATAGTCCAGATTATAGTCTAGTTTATAGTCCAGACTATAGTCTAGTCTATAATCCAGACTATAGTCTTGTCTATAATCCAGACTATAGTCTAGTCTATAGTCTAGTCTATGGTCTAGACTTTAGTCTAGTCTATAGTCCAGACTTTAGTCTAGTCTATAGTCCAGACTTTAGTCTAGTCTATAGTCCAAACTATAGACTAGACTATAATCCAGACTATAGTCTAGTTTATAGTCTGGACTATAGTATAATCTAGTTTATAGTCCAGACTAAAATATTCCTAATCGAAGCGTATGAGTAATATATAAATCAAACTCTTTTCCCTATTAAGTATACGCCCCTTTAATACAAAAGTTTTACAAAAATCTCTTGTACAGCTTTAATAAGTCGTTTCAACTTGTCAAACTTTTGTTCTTCCGTGTCTTTATCTGTAAATGAGTGTTTGTGTGATTGAACACTTGTGTATGTGTATATTTTAATGTTGTCTGAGTTTTTGTTGTTTTTGTTAAGGTTCCTTAGACAAAAAAAAAATACGTTTTGTTTATAGTACATTCGTTTGTTTTGTATTTTAAAGTTTTTTATTTTATAGTTGTTGTAAACACTCATAAAAATGGTCATACACATGTTAATGCAGACACACATATACACACCAATACGTACATATGTACATTTATGTAAATACTTTATACGTCTGTTTTTGTGTACTAATGTAAGATATATTCTTAATTTTTGTTGCAATTTTTTTGTGTGTTTCCTTTACTTAAGAAGGTTATATCCATGTAGAACTAAATGAAACTAGAGGAAAAAAAAACATCTGAAAATAATAAAGAAGAATTTATATGTATGTATATAAAAAAAATCACAAAACCTTTATATGTGTATGACTATAAATATGGGAAAAACTATAAACCTTTATATGTTTATATTTATAGTATTTTTTTGCATGTGTGTGTGTTGTTTTAAAAAAAGAGGTCTTTTGTAGGCTCAAAAATAGCATTAACTCAAATGCAATTTTTAACAGCATACTTTCACTTGAGTATATATGTATGTATATATGTACGTACCTTTATTCTTTAGCATAGACGTGAAAAGAATGTAGAAGGTATTTTACATAGTAGAGTATACTATGTAAAATACCTTCTACCACATTCATATATTCAGTATTACGAGTGTTATAAGGGTAGACCGGAAATTGAGATTTGTAAAGAAAACTTTACAAAAATCCTAAATAGTAGTATTTCCTCTAAAGGAACTAAGATGTTTACATGGTTTAAACTCAAATACAAGTCTTTCTGAAAACAGAAACTTCAAATAGAAGGCTATAGTCTAGATAGTCTAAACCGGGGTGTGGACTGTAGACTAGACATTCTTTTATTTTTTATTCTCCTTCTAAAATATTTCTTGCTGAGGCGTATGATTATTATTCAATACAAACTCTATTCCGTATTAAGTATACGCCTGCATTAATACAATGTTTTAACAAAAATCACTTTTTAAAGAGTACTAGACTACAGACTAGGCCATAGACTGGACTATAGACCAGACTATAGATTAGACTAAAGACTAGACGACAGATTAGACTATAGACTAGACTAGAGACTAGACCATAGACTAGACTATAGACTAGACTATAGACTAGACTATAGACTAGACTATAGAGTAGACTATAGACTAGACTATAGACTAGACTATAGACTAGACTATAGTCTAGACTATAGACTAGACTATAGACTAGACTATAGACTAGACTATAGTCTAGACTATAGACTAGACTATAGACTAGACTATAGACTAGGCTATAGACTAGACTATAGACTAGACTATAGACTAGACTATAGACTAGACTAGACTAGACTATAGACTAGACTATAGACTAGACTATAGACTAGACTATAGACTAGACTATAGACTAGACTATAGACTAGACTATAGACTAGACTATAGACTAGACTATAGACTAGACTATAGACTAGACTATAGACTAGACTATAGACTAGACTATAGACTAGACTATAGACTAGACTATAGACTAGACTATAGACTAGACTATAGACTAGACTATAGACTAGACTATAGACTAGACTATAGACTAGACTAGACTATAGACTAGACTATAGACTAGACTATAGACTAGACTATAGACTAGACTATAGACTAGACTATAGACTAGACTATAGACTAGACTATAGACTAGACTATAGACTAGACTATAGACTAGACTATAGACTAGACTATAGACTAGACTATAGACTAGACTATAGACTAGACTATAGACTAGACTATAGACTAGACTATAGACTAGACTATAGACTAGACTATAGACTAGACTATAGACTAGACTATAGACTAGACTATAGACTAGACTATAGACTAGACTATAGACTAGACTATAGACTAGACTATAGACTAGACTATAGACTAGACTATAGACTAGACTATAGACTAGACTATAGACTAGACTATAGACTAGACTATAGACTAGACTATAGACTAGACTATAGACTAGACTATAGACTAGACTATAGACTAGACTATAGACTAGACTATAGACTAGACTATAGACTAGACTATAGACTAGACTATAGACTAGACTATAGACTAGACTATAGACTAGACTATAGACTAGACTATAGACTAGACTATAGACTAGACTATAGACTAGACTATAGACTAGACTATAGACTAGACTATAGACTAGACTATAGACTAGACTATAGACTAGACTATAGACTAGACTATAGACTAGACTATAGACTAGACTATAGACTAGACTATAGACTAGACTATAGACTAGACTATAGACTAGACTATAGACTAGACTATAGACTAGACTATAGACTAGACTATAGACTAGACTATAGACTAGATAGACTAGACTATAGACTAGACTATAGACTAGACTATAGACTAGACTATAGACTAGACTATAGACTAGACTATAGACTAGACTATAGACTAGACTATAGACTAGACTATAGACTAGACTATAGACTAGACTATAGACTAGACTATAGACTAGACTATAGACTAGACTATAGACTAGACTATAGACTAGACTATAGACTAGATAGACTAGACTATAGACTAGACTATAGACTAGACTATAGACTAGACTATAGACTAGACTATAGACTAGACTATAGACTAGACTAGACTAGACTATAGACTAGACTATAGACTAGACTATAGACTAGTCTACAGATTAGTCGGTTCTTAGTCCAGTCTAAAGACTAGTTTTTAGTTTAAACTATAGTCAGGGCTACAGTGTAGTCTTAAGTCTAGATTACAGTCTGCTCATAGTCTTATTCTGTAGTCCAATCTGTAGTCTTGTCCATAATCTTGTCTTTAGTAAAGTAACTACCCTATTATTAACATCAAGTAAATGTCAAGAAGAAACTGCTCTATTTGTAAGCTTGATGCTTTGCTTTCTGTTGGTCTAGTGTATTAAAATTAAACCAGAAAATATAAAAAAAATGTACTGTTCCAACAAAAAACTATTTTTAAGATGTATAAAAGACTGGAGGGTGGTTACACGAAAAAAAATGTTTTTGAAGTGACATAGAAATGTCAAGTCAAAAAAAATCTTTAAAAATAGTTTTAATCAGTTGTACAGACTTTGGTATGACAGCTTTTGGTATTGTGAACAATTTTGTTAAATTTTTAATTAAGTCAATCTAAGGTTAAGCAGGAAGTTTAGTAGAGTAATGAGGAAATAAAACTCCTGTGGTTGTGAATTAGCAGAAGTGAAGTTAGGAGGTGAGGATGATGTCATAGTTTTTAATGGTTTGAATTTAAATAGAAGTTTATTTAATTAAATTTTTAGGATATTTTCTTGCTTCTAAAACAATCTATTGTCCAAAAAGTTTTTTTGTAGGAAATCTTTTGAAATTTTTTCTACTGATATCACAGCCATCATTCTATTTGGCCCAAATTTCTTTTTACAACTTTTATTTCATGTCCAAAGTGGAAACCAAATAAAAAAAAACGTCGAAAAAAATCAATGAAATTATAATGTAATAAATAATATCAAATTAAATAATAAAAAAAAAAAAACGAGAAAAAGAAATAATACTGATATATAACAAACAAAAAGAGGTTAAAGTCTATAAAAACACATTTTCAAACCATGTCCCTGCCAAGTGTAACAAAATTTTCAACATCATAGTGAATACAACAAAAAATATTGAAAAATAATAATGACTGTCGCAATATTACGTGTATTAAACAAATGTATTATAGTTTCCATAAAATAATTAAATAAATTAAGAGTAAATTGTTGTTGTAATCAACACGTAAAATGAATGCAAAATAATCGAAATCAATTTAACGTGTATGTCCGTCTGTCGGTCTGCCTGCCTGCCTTTAAAATCCCGTTGAGTGAGTGAATAAATGAGCGTGAGTGCTTGTGTTGTGTCGAGTTTTACGAATGAGTGATCGCGTTGGTATTAGTTCATCAGCTGGCCGTTATGCTCGTGTGAGTCCTTCGCCGGGTCGTGGTACAAAAGTTGCCTATGCACCATGTCCTCTATTCGATGCACAGGATGTCGAATTGGGTGGCAATTGTTTGGCCATACCAATGTCATCGCTACAGCCACCACCGCCATCATCGGCAGCAGCAGCACAAGCCGTGGCATATGGCAAAACCTCAATAGCAAATGGAAATAGTAATAATAATAGTCATCATTATAAAAAGGGTGAGTTATTAAAAAAAAATTGTTTTCAGTGATAGAATAATAAAAAAACTGATGAAATTGCTTAAGGAAAAGTAACATAATTTAACTAAATTACTTTAAAATTTCAAGTTAAATATCTTACAAACCAAAATTTCCAAAATTTTTAACATTTAATATATATTTACATGTTGTTTACACATTGTTTACATGATGTATACTATGAAAAACTTTCAAGTAATTTATATAAAGTAAAAAAGAATCATTTTTTCATTGGTTATCAATTGTTTATATGTTTTACATCATATCTACATTGTTTACCTATTGTTTACATCATGTAAAATGTAAAAAATGTGTAAACAAACTTGTTTTCCATCTATTTAAAGTGAATAAAATGTATTTTTACAAACTTTAGACATTGTTTACCCAATATTTACACATTGTTTACATCATGTAAAGTACAAAATTTTTAACAAATTTAATTATAATTGTGTCACAAGGTCGTACATAAGTTTTTAGCAACTTTAAACTATAGTTTACATTACATTTACATTGTTTACTTATTGTTTACATCGTGTAATATGTAAAAATTTGTAAACAAACTTGTTTTCCATCTATTTAAAGTGAATAAAATGTTATTTTACAAACTTTAGACATTGTTTACCCATTATTTACATCACATCTACATTGTTTGCTTATTGTTTACATCGAGTAAAATGTGAAATTTTTGTAAACAAACTTGTTTTCCATATTTTTAAAGTGAATAAAATATAATTTTACGTAGTTTTGTCATTGTTTACCCATTGTTTACATCATGTAAAATATAAAATTTGTAATAAATTTCATTACAAATTTGTCATAAGATCGCTGATAAGGTTTTTACAACTTTTGACTATTGTTTACATCATATCTACATTGTTTACCTATTGTTTACATCGTGTAAAATGGCAAATTTTTTTAAACAAACTAGTTTTCCATCTTTTTAAAGTGAATAAAATGTAATTTTACAAACTTTAGACATTGTTTACCCATTATTTACATATTGTTTATATCATGTAAAATACAAAATTTTGAAAAAATTTCATCGAAATTATCTCACAAAGTCGACAATAAGGTTTTTACAACTTTTGACTATTGTTTACATCATATCTACATTGTTTACCTATTGTTTACATCGTGTAAAATGTGAAAATTTTGTAAATAAACTTGCTTTCCATATATTTAAAGTGAATAAAATGTAATTTTACAAACTTTAGACATTGTTTACTCATTATTTACATCACATCTACATTGTTTACTTATTGTTTACATCGAGTAAAATGTGAAATTTTTGTAAACAAACTTGTTTTCAATCTTTTTAAAGTGAATAAAATATAATTTTACGTAGTTTTGTCATTGTTTACCCATTGTTTACATCATGTAAAATATAAAATTTGTAATAAATTTCATTACAAATTTGTCATAAGATCGCTGATAAGGTTTTTACAACTTTTGACTATTGTTTACATCATATCTACATTGTTTACCTATTGTTTACATAATGTAAAATAAGAAATTTTGTATTATTTTATGTTAAAAATTACCTCAGAAATTCGAAAATATGATTTACATAACAATTAACAATTGTTTACACTGTGTAAACATTATTTACATTCTTTACATCATGTAAAGTATGAAAATTTTAAAGAAACTTAAGTTAAATTATTAAAAGTAAAAATAACAAATGTTTACCAAGTTTTGCTATTGTTTACCCAATATTTACACATTGTTTACATCATGTCAACTATGAAAATTTTCAAGGAAAATAAATTATGTTATTGAAAAGTAAACAAAAACTTAATTTTGCTATTGTTTACCCATTCTTTACTTATTGTTTACATTATGTAAACTATTAGAATATTTAAAAGAAATAGCTTTTAATCACTTTGGAAGCTTGAAAAGAAGAACTTTACAAAATTTAGCAAATGTTTACATCATGTATACTTATTTTATACCTTGTTTACATCATATATACACACATATTTTACGCATTGTTTACATCATGTTAAGATTTTAAGAATAATCTTATTTTCAATTTAAAGTAATAAATTCGATGCGATCTAATGTTTAGTCTTTGTTTACGCATTCTTTATATATTATTTACATAATGTAAAGTATGAAATTAAGACAAAAAACATTTTGCAGATCTATTGCACTATACTTACATGTAAAACTTGCTTAGGTTTACACAATTTTGTTATTGTTTACATTGTGTAAACATACTTTACACCATGTAAACAATTAAATATATATGTAAAATAAGCATTTTTGCTTAACTTAAAGCTTGTCATATTATTATTAAGTAAATTTTACATTATTTACACATTGTTGACATCATGTAAACAATTGATTTTCTTTTAAATTACATAATTTACATCAGTTTTAAGTTTGTTAACTTAAAGTAGAGATTTAGTACTTTTGATTTACATTGTTGACACTAGGTAAATAATGTAAATAATGTTACAGCATGTAAACAATTAAATATTTCTGTAAATTAAACTTTTTTTACTAACTTACAGCTTGTCATCTTATACTTGAGTAAATTTTATATTGTTTACACATTGTTGACATCATGTAAACAATTGATTTTCTTTAAAATTACATAATTTACATCGATTTAAAGTTTGCCAAATTAAAGTAGAATTATAGTACTTTAAATTTACATTGTTGACACTAGGTAAATAATGTAAAAAAGTGGGTAAATATTGTAAAAAACTAAAACATTTTAGATTTTAAAACTTAAATCTTTTAAAAAAATATTAAAATTTTACACAAAATCAATTGTTTACACCATGTAAAATATGTAAATGTTTTAATTCTTTTGTAAAAATGTTTTAAAACTTTATAAAATGTATAAAAAATTAAGAAAATCCATTGTTTACATAATGTCAACAATAAGTAAACAATGTAAAAATGCGGTAAATTCAAGTTTTATACTAAAACTTTAAGTAAAATGTTAAAATTTCAAATGTAAACAATTGTTTACCCCATATTTACATGAGGTAAATAATGTAAATTAACTGTATTTTATGTTTTAATGTCTTAAATTTGTTTTAAAATTATAAAAAGCGGAGAAAATCTATTGTTTACATGATGTCAAGCACAGGTAAACAATGTAAAAAAGCTGTGATTAAGGTTTAAATTACAGAAATTCGTTTAAAATTTTGAAAAATTCAAATGTAAACAATTGTTTACTTAATATTTACATGGAGTAAATGAAGTAAATTAGCTATATTTTCTGTTTAAATGTTTTAAATTTGTATAAAATCAACAAAATCTAAAGTAAAATGATTGTTTACATCATGTCAATAACATGTAAATAACTCAAAAAGTGTTAAAAATTTAGCTTTAAGGGCATAAATTCGGAACTATCTTTTATTTACTTAAATTTTACTTTATGTCAACAATGTTTAAATGTTTACAAACAAATCTATTGTTTACTTAGTGTCAACAATACAAGTTTTAATTTCACAAATCTATTGAAAATATGGAAATTTCCTGCAACAACAATTATTCTATTTCATAAACTGTGTCATCTGTTAACAATAGACAGTTGTTAGAGAAAAATTTAATTTACATCCTCCACCCCCCCAAATCCATCAATCTAATCTACACATCCTTTTTTTATAGGATAACTACTACAACAATTTGGTATTAAAAAGGGTGTGAAAAACAAATTCCTTTTCAACTAGATTTCTTTATAATTGAAGTGCTTTTTTTGTTTGTAACAAAAAGTCTTTTACACAAACCGTCAAACATAATCTTGTTATTTTAACTATTCACTTATCAATACAATTATTTTCACAAAAGAAGATTTCTAAAGATGAAAAAGAGAAAGTGTGATATTTTAAAAAAACTTAACAAAAAATTCCCATAAATTTTCTCTTAATTTTATTAATTCTCTTATCTCTTTTTATATATATCTCTGCTAATCTATCATTACCTCTTAATTAGGGTCAAGTTTGGTTGACTTTGTTGGCCGTTTGTTTTTGGTGGGTGTGAGATTTAAATATAAATTTTCTTTTATTGCAAATAAATCTTAATAATTCATAATGATGTATAAACAAAATTTAAGTCAAAATAACGCACACACGCACTTAAGTGTGCGGATTTTTCGCACTCAATCAGATAGCAGAGACATTGTTATAAATAGCTAGGCACAATGGGCTGGGAAGAATCAAAACTTTCAAGTAACAATTAATTAATTCTAGGGATATGGCTATAAACTTGAGCAGCGAGTACACTATATACAAGAAAAGTCTACAGTCTGGCCAAAATTCTAAAGTCTGGACTAAAATCTAGTCTGGAATGTAGTCTAGACAAATCGGTACTATAATCTGTACTATAGTGTGGACTTATGGTGTAAATTTATACCGTAGACTCTATAGTATAAGTAGACCTATAGTCTACACTATAAACTGAACTATAACCTGGACAATACTGTGAACTATAGTATGAACTATTGTCTGAACTATAGTGTGGACTATATTCTGAACTATAGTGTGGACTTATAGTGTAAACTTATAGCGTCTGGCTATAGTCTGAACTATAGTCTGAATTATAGTCCCGACTAGACTCTGGACTACAGTCTGAACTATAGTCTATACTATAGTATGAACTATAGTCTGGACAATAGTCTGGACTATAGTTTGAATTGTTCTATAATCTAGAGTTCTGTCGATAGTCTGGACTGTAGTCTGAATTAGTCTGAATTTTAGTCTGAACTATAGACCGAACTATATTCAGAACTATAGTCTGAACAATAGTCAGGTCTATAGTCTGGACTATAGTGAAAATTGTAGACCAGAATATAGTCTGTACTTTAGTTAGAACTGTAATCAATTCTATAATCTGTATTATGGTCTATAAACTATAGACTAGACTATAGACTAGACTATAGACTAGACTATATGACTAGACTATAGACTAGACTATAGACTAGACTATAGACTAGACTATGACTAGACTATAGACTAGACCTATAG